AAAAAAAAAAAAAAAAGCAGGTGTTATTGAGAGATGATGGTCTTGTTATCTCTAACATCTGAATCAAGCTCATATGAATATTCACCTTGGTGTGTCTTTTACCTGATGAGGCTCTTCAGTACCCTGTTTGGGCTTACAGGCAGCCCTTTACTTCAGTTGCAGTTTATTTTGCTAAAGCAGTTCCATATCACGGGAAGAAAATTACTGTGTGTGAATATGATGCTACATAAGCCCTTTGTGTATGTGACCTTACTGACACACTGCAGATACACTTTCTTTGTAAGACTTCAGACGTGAGATAAGAAATGGTGACGGTGGGGCTAACATATGGCATTTGTAATGGTGGTAAGCAGAAGTGGCTAAAACTGGTGAGGTGGAATGGTTGTTGATCTGGAATAAAGAGCCTTTATCCGTGTGTGCATGTGCATATGCATACAGTATGACAGTTCAGCTTGGCAGTTTGCCCTCCCGGCACAGGGCATGGCAGCTTCTTTTAAAGGGTCTGGATAGCTGCTACTTACACAGCAGCGTTACTTCACCTCTTCAGAAGGCTGACTTGTTCTGTCAAGAGTGACAAGCATTTACCCTGCAGTTAACTTCAGTAAAGCTAGGCAGAGCTTCAGTAAATCTGTCAATCTTCTAAAAAACTGACATTATAAATAAAATTTATTTGGAAGTAAGTTGTAAGTAGTAGGGTCTGAATTCAAATACCTGAGTGAGTTCCGTGCTGACCATCTGCATAGTCACATTTGTGGAACTTTTAGACTTTCTTTGCTTTTAATAGTTGATTTGGCATGTTAAAAGAACTTTTAAACACAGTTTTCATTTTTGTCCCTTTAAGAAGTGTGAAGTTAGGAGAAGTTTTATTTACAGTCAGTCTAATGGGAACCATGCTGATAATTAGACCCCTTTGAATGTCTCCAAATCCATAAGACTATAAACACTCATCTAAAGTATACCACCACAATTGGGCCAATATCTGTTGTACTTACTGCAGTGTACAGAGCTGTGCGAGTTTTAAGAAATCCTATTAAAATACCAAATGAGATTTGAATCTGTAGCCATATGCTGAATTGCAAAACTAGAGTGTAGGACAAAAGGTCACTGTTTTATCTGTTAGAGTTATTGAACTTCCTTTGTGAATTATGCATTCTTCCAACTCTGAATATGCATCCTGCCATCTAGTTTAATTAAGTTTTGTGAAGTCATTTAGAGTGCTTATCCCATATTTAGAACTTAAACTTTTTTGAATAATGCCATTAAGTGTACTGATTTTTTGTCAAAAGACAACCGTGATTAAATGTTATCTTCCGTGTGCGTATTTTCCTGTTGCTTGTAGTGCTTTGCAGAAGTTTCAAAATGTATTTCTGAGGGCATGAATATGAGGAATGTTCTTTGTGTATTGAAATCTAGATGTATAATGAGAGCTCATGTCTTTTTTTAGTTAATTGTATTTGCTCAGTTTTTTTAGCTTGGTGTCCCTCTCCTTGGCTCTCTCCCTACCCCCCAAGCAGTTTATCTACTGCATTTACTTGTTATGAGTCAACAAAATCTTCTACTTGGTGTGGTCAAGGGTTTTTTTATTATTACTTATTGTAGCACTGCTCCTTCAGCATTTTAGCTGTGTGGATTGTATGGTTATTATCCTAATAAAGCACTTTTTCACTTAAAGAGAATTGAATTACTTGTAATCCAGTTTTTGAATGGTAGCACTTCAATTAAACACATAAGTGTAGACAAGTATAATTTTTTTCCGATCTCAAACACCAAGAAAAAAACCAGTATAGCTTCTCCATCTCTTGCTAAGAAACTTTAACTAGTAAGAAAGTAGAATTACATCTCAACGTTCCATTGAACTTACAATAAGCTAGGATGAATTAAATCATTTTGATGATTACAATTTACATCTATGAAATAGTCTCTCCTTAAAGCTATGATTTTGCCTTTGGGCAGTCTGATGTCTCGCTCTCAGAAAAGAACTGAAGCTGCTTTATATGTAGAAGCCTTATTTTATATTATTTTTCATTGTTCATGGGATTTTTAAAACTCTTGCAAGGAAGTTGATTTTTCTGAATCCGATGCCTAAGATGGAAAGATGAAATCTAAGTAGTCCTGTCAGAGAAAGACAAGCTTGCCCTGTCCTCTATATTAAAAGCTAAAAAAGGGCTCTCTGCAAATATGGTGTTCGATCTCTGCTTGTTTTCTAAATGTCAAACTGCAAGACGAGTTTATTTAAATATACTTTCTTAGTGTTACTTGTTGACATAGCAGTTGTCTGAGTTCCCATCAGGGTGTCATTTGATCACTGGTAGGAAAGGCGTAAATTAGACAACAAAAAAAGAAAAGTTGAGAACCTTAGAGCTGGAACAGTTTTGGTGGCCTATAAATACTTGTCACCATTGGTTTCACACTCTCGGGACTTGGCTGAAACATGCTTTCCATACTGAACTAGAGACTAGATTGAATTAAATTTATATAATCTTTGTTGACTGCATTGCAGTATTGTGAAGGTCCAAAACTATTGTAGCTCAGTTTCACTGCCTTGCTTCTTAGATTGCCCTGTATATACACGTGTGTACACATCTGTCTGTCTAGATGGATCAAGTGTGTATGTATATATATGTGTGTGTGTGTGTGTATGAATGCACTTATACTGTAACCAAGATCGGCTCAGTAACCTGAATCGTGCTGCTTTTTTCATACTCCTGGTGAATCTGCCAGCACAGGTGAATTTTGCCTGCTGTGTTTGTTATTTAAGACATCAGCCCCAAAATCTCACCAGCCCCACAGCTGCTCTTGTAGCTGCCTTTAGCTGCACCAAGGACTTTCCAAACACCCCTTGTCACTCCCCACTGCCGAAGCATCAGTCCTGCCTGCTAAGCCAGGTCTCCTCTGGGAATGGGAGCATGCCTGCATGGAGAAAATGCTAATCTGGGATCTCTCTTTTTATATATTAAATTTCCTGATTTGAGAACAGAATTGTATTAAGGTATTTCAAAGAATTGTTTGAATGCTCATGATTTCTATAGTAAAAATTGTTAGAGTTAGTAATCAGTTTCTTAAGTTTCCCCTTATTTAAAGGGAAGAGTAAAAGTAAACTTGCACCAAATATTTGGTGCATCTGCTGACCCATAAGTGACCTGACTGGAGAAAGGGACACTCTTCTGGTCTTGCAACTGCTTTGATCTAGGGAAGAAATAGTGTTGCTTGGCTGTGGAAGATTACACATTTAGTTGTGTAAAACAAGGTTGTGTTCATCTCTCCCCATTCTGTTACAAAGCCTGCATTTTTCTTGGAAGCAGTGGAGAATTTCACAAGGGGGGGGGAGGGG